GGGCACCACTTCTAAGGTTCTAAGATAGTCGCAGGAAGACCCCTAAGGCTAGATCCTAACTCCTACGAGAAATACTAGACCTCACGAAAATTAAGGTCAACAGGCATTTACATACATAACACCTTATTCCTATCCATTTACTTATCTAACACCTAAATTTTAATTTTTACAGTTATACCAATCAAATCTTTCATATCACATAAGAAATGCCATCATTTCAACTTTTAAAAAGTGAAATACACCTTTCATGCATAGGCAAGGTGGTATGTATGTAAAAGTCAAAGTTTAGGAGTTAGATGTGTAAAAAAATAGGAATTGAGGGGTATGTATGCAAATCTTTCAATAAAAAATGGAAGCCTCACTCCTTAACTGGATAACCAGATAGTCTTGAATCAAGGTAATGACCTAGTGCTTGAATTTACTGCTGTATACATAAGAAAAATTAGGCAGCTGCTCAGGAATATAGAGTATTTCATGGTCAAAGAATTTAACTCGAACTTGCATGAATCAAAGAAATGATACCTCGTCAAAAGCATTTGGATCTCCTCCAGCATTCAGCAAGCAATTGATAATATCCTTGCTCCCAGCATCTGCAGCAACATGCAATGGAGTTGCTCCACCCGCTTGAACATTGGGACTAGCACCTGCCTATCAAAAAAGAAATAGAGGCGTTTACAGACATACCACACAATTCTTATGCATTTACAAATCTAACATCTAAGGTCCTGTTTGGGATCAATTTCTATTTTTTTTTATTTTTATTTTTAGTCTGTATTGTTTATGTTTTTGTATTATTTTTTATTTTATTTTCTAAAAAACACATTTGGTCCTATTTTGATTTATCTATTTTTAAAAATAAAAAATATAAAACATATTTGGTTGGGTATTTTCACTTTTTTTTAAGAAAAACATCGGTGCCAACACACATCCTCATACACACGACTGTAATGGATCTAAGAAAAAGATTTATTATTGCTTTATATGAAAAAGACGCAATATAAATAATAAAACTAAAACAAAAGAGTTGTATCCTCATCTAACTCAGTCGCCTATCTTCTCTTCCTCCATCTTCCATGCTTGAACCACTCGCAACTGGTGTCGCGGTGCACAAAGATCTCCGAAACTCCCATATATTTCCCCTTTTCACTCCGCTGCTACTCGACTAACCCTCGTATTTCACTTCTTTCCTGCCAATCCCCCTTGGTGTGCATCAGCTCCTCTAAATCCTATAAAACCATTTTCCAACGGGATCTCCTAAACCGAGATTTAAGACAAAATGGAGGTGAAAAAGATCCTATCCTGTAGGATTTGAACTTCTCATTTTTTCTGTTTGGCAGGATTTAGTTTGAATCTTTTATATATCCTGTTTTATTCTTGCTACAAAACAGCCTTCGAGAGCATATCTCTTCTGGTCCACTCTGTGAGTTGTGCAAAGTGCTATGCATGTAAATATGAAAGTTTAGGTGTTAGATATATAAATAAATAAAGATATTTGTGCTAGGTATGTAAATTTCCCAAAAATTTTTACAACTCTGTGAGATATGATCTTCTTCATTCTAGCCTGTCTCTTAACCTTCATATTTTTTTCCCTTTTTTTCTCCGCCATGGCTGACATACCTAATTTCTGGTACGTTTGAAATGTCTAATATTTTTTTGCACTGTTTTTTATTTTCAAATCCCCAACACTATAACCCTGCCAGGAATCCTCGGCGTCGTCTGGAAAAAAATCTTCACCGATACATTCATCCACTCCGATCCACCGGAATCAATCTCACCGAGCGGAATCGCCGCATCGATGACCTGCAAGCCTTGGCAGAACAACACGGCAAAGTAATCACCATAACAGAAGCTCGTGTGGTTGGGGCTGTAGGAGGTGAGGTCGATGTCAAAGGGTGATGTTGAGGTTGAGATCGAATCTATTGCGAGGGAGAAGGGGAGGGCAAGGGCTACTTTGGTGTTCTAAAAACAAGCAAAAACATGTCTTCTCTGTTTTTAGTATTTTTAAAACAGAAGTGTTCTCCCACAAAATAAAAAACTGAAATTAAGCAAAAAATAGATAAACTGTGTTTTTATTTTTTTTTTTCAAAACAAAAAAACAAAAAACAAAAATTGATCGCAAACAACCCCTAAAATTTCATATTTACATACATAACACTAATATTTAACATCACATCAAAAAGTCCACTACTAACCTTTTGAAATGGAAGCACAGTTATTCATACAGGTTCATGATACCAAAATGTTATAAATGTAAATATCAAATTTATCAAATTTTTAGGTGTTAGATATGTAAATACAAATGAATTGTGTTGAATGTACGTAAATTTCGCATAGAAATATTAAATTCAAGAGACGTACTTAAATCTATGACAAAGAATAACATTGAGTACTTCAAGACTTCATTTTATTTTTGAATTATATAAATATCGAGTTCTTTCAAAATAATAAATTCAATTGTATGATTAACGGTAGCTTAATTAATCCGACAAACATAAATTTTCCTGGTACAAGCTTCTGCATTTCTACACTCAAAATTAAAATTTTAATGACATACAAACAAAAGTATATAGAGAAAAAAATTAAACTGATGGATCGTCAAAGTTGATACAAAAATGAATTGCAGTTAAAAATATTTTGAAGTGATAAATCGCTGGAGTTCATATCTGCAACATCTACGGTTGAAAAAGAGGCTTACCCAAAACTACTCCAATTCATTAGTTTGTTGAATTTCTGTTTTAATCATTAAAAAAAAAATAAGGCACACTAATCAAGGCTTTGTACCATTGGATCCGCTAACTTATAACCCTTGAATAACAAATACCTCAAAACACGTGGACCAAGACTACGTACTGTAATATTTATCTCTCTTTGATGCTCGGATTGTAATCTATGAGCTTTCATATAGGATTGTCAGCCCCTAATTATTTTCTTTCCTTTTTTGATTTATTAATATTTTGTATTGCTTTTAAGAGTTGTATATATATGTTTCCTCCTGTACAAAGATTTAAATTAAATTTTGAGAGTTTTTTTTTTCATTATTTATTTTCTACATCGAATCAGAACCAAGTTAGGAAATTCCTTCCAACCTTTATCCTTATCTCTAAGGTTAGAGTTTCCAATTTCAACTTTATCCCTCTAGTTGAATTTTTCTTCTATTCTCTATGTCAAGATTGTTTTATTTTTTATTTATTTCCCTTCAAAGGAATCAACCATGATTAACGATGAAAATCAGACCAAAGAAAAACTCCCAAGTATTTCAAATATCTTATCACTTGAACGGGACAATATACCTTAAATTATCCCAAATTATGGGAACATTTCTAAACGAAAGGGGAAAAATCCAACACTTCGTGAAACTACCTACGGAGCTCAATAACCCAATACTCTTACTTTGAGAAGAAACTGATATCATGATCATAAAATGATTATTTAAAACATGTTATTAGAGATCAGTGGGCCTTTTATTTTTCTCTCCACCTCAAAAGAAATTTAGGATGCAGTTAAACAAACCTACTAAACAGTGAAAAATGTTGCACTTATCTACGAAATTAAGATAAACCTTTTCACTACCAAATAAAGTAACTTTCCTGTAATCGAATACTTTAATGCCATGAAAATTTACTAGTTAGATTTGGACTAGTACCAAGATACCAAGATGTCTTACTGCGAGGATATGATGAACCTTAAAAATTCGTCGGGCGTGAGAGAATTTTTGAGTTTTTGGTAGGATTTGATGATAAATTTGATCAAATTTAAATCCAAATCTTTAGCAGAGAGAATATCTTTGAACTGAATGAAGTATTCTTTCATAAGAGCAAAAGAGGGAAGAAAGACAATGAAGATCAATGGTCTAGACCTCGAGATATCTACCATGAAAACTTCTAAATCCCAAGATAAAAGACTATCTATCATAGAATCTTCACCAAAATAAATACAAAAATACTTTTCTTTTTAAAAGAAATCTCTAGTGGCACTACTGCAAAAAGAAAGGGCACACCAAAGCAAATGTTGGAAACATCACGGAAAACTCCAACACTATGGAGGAAGTAAAGGCGGAAATAAAAAAAGGGCAAGCCTGCCTAATGGAATCAGAAGAATTTAATTCAGAAGAAATCAAGAGCTTAACGAATTTTCTCATTTCCTTAGAAAACCATGAAGATCTTGATTTCTTCCTCAAATTGATATGATTTATAATTCTTATGCTCTTAGAGCCTCTAATAATTCTTCCTCTTCATAGATCCAAGATTCAGGCACAAATCACATGACAAACCCTGCCAACATATTTCAAACTTATGAATCATATTCTAAGAATAGAAAAATAAAAGTTGTAATAGCAACTATTGCAACATAGAAAAACATCTTAATTTCTCCAAATTTAACCATCAATAGTGTGTTACATATTAGATAACTAGGGTTGTAAACGAGTCGAACACGAGTGAGTCCATGCTCAGCTTGTGTTTGACTCATTAAAAAATATCACTGTTCGTATTCGTATCGTTTATATTTCAAACACAATAAATGTGTTCGTGTTTAACTCGTTTGCTTAGTGAGCCGGACACGAGCCATTCGCGAAAAAATAGTCGTTTTTACATTACTAGTCATGTAGTCGTAGTATATTAAGAGTTAGGGCGAGATTTAAATCTTATTATTTATATTAAAACATCATTTAAATATAATTTAATATATTATTATTATATTTTTAATTAATAATTTTAATTAATTATAAATCTTTGTAGGCTTGTCATTAATTAAATTTTTTTAAAAAATAATACTCATCCATTA